GTCGTTGTTTAAAACATTAACGTCATTACACGACATAATACATAATATTCCGTAATCACGCCATCGCGCGTCGTAGCTGCAGACCGTGCATGCTGCATGGTCGAATATCGAGTTAAAAATAGTTTATTAGTTGATTATTATTTTTATTTATAGAGAAGTGTACCTACAAGACAATTATTTAAAGTTTTGTATATAAAATTATATTACTATGTAATATGCATTACAAATTTACAAATTACAATATTACACACATGTTATGACATTAATGTTATAGGGCGTTAACACACAACTTGCACATCCAGAGAAAACGCCACTGGTTTTCTTTGACATCTGATTTTTTTTTTTTTTTTTATGTAATCGACCATGGGTAGAGACAACTACTCGTACTTTACCGTGATACGTCTTTGGGGTGGGAGGGCAATATCGCGATGGAAAATATGTATGATCATCAAACATGAGGTAACGTGTTCCATTTATTTATTTAAATACTTCCTGACTATACTCAACGATCTGTTTTTTATTAGTTTGTGACCAAATTGTACAAAACCATTTCGGTCTACTTATATATATATATATATATATATATATATAAATTACTTTTCTTTTCCTTCATCCTTTAATTATGTAAATTCAAGAAATATAAAAAAAAAAGGGAAAAATTTAAAAAAATTTTCGTGTTCCTTTTTGTGTATTTATTGGTGACCCCTGCTTCGACAGTTAGTTATGTGATCGTTGAACTTCAAAGTCTGAAAAGTTGCAAACTCCTTAAGACCAATTTATTGTTGACTATCACGAGTTCAGTAAAATATAAAAAACATAAATTTAAACATATTTATTATAACATTATTTTTAATTAACTTTTAATGATTAATAGACAAAATAGTCAAAAAATGTATTATAATTAACTCGTTAAAAATAAATTATATTGAATTTACATTTATAAAATGTATGTACCTATAGATACCTTGTAATTTGAATTTAAATACATTTCTTCTCAATTTTTTATTTAACCCATTTATTATTTGATTTCTATTTTAATTTTTACCAAACCTATTACGACCCATAAGCAATGCGGTTAAATCAAAATGATGCTATTTGATTTTTGGATGAAGGAAAATCTTATATTTCTGCGTACCTTGTTATTTGCGTTATATGCATAATGATTATTATCATATTAACAGTGGCGTAGCCAGGATTATTAAATGGGAGGGGCTAATCATTTTTTTGGATAAGTAAGGTAAGAGAGGTTATGAGAATTCACCCTTAACCCCCCTCCCCATCTACCACCAAATTTTTAAATGTAATTCATGCATTTTAGTATAGTTTTAAAAATATTTATCAATATATAATTTATAATAATAATAATAATTTTGGTTTCAGTGTTCAGTCACTTGTTCCACTCTGACAGCTGACAGTTATTATTTCACTTTCATCGAATTGCTCTTTTTTATTTATATTAGCCATAGCTAACCCATTCAGTCTGTTTTCCGACATGGTGCTTTTTTAATAATTTTTTAAGCGATTAAGTGCAAAAAACGTTCTTTCCGGAGTGGAAGAGGTAACTGGTAACGTGGTGAATAATTGTAAAAGTATTTTAATGTTAGGTTGAAGATTGATGCAATGAGAGAGTGAATCAACAGCAGAATTCGGTTTTAGAATAGTATTTTGACTCCATAGTTGCCTCCATATGAACAGATTAGCTCTCATTGTAGATGAGGTATCAGCATGGAGATCTTGGGCATATATTTTAGCATCTTTTATAATATTTTCATTGATTATAAATTGATAGTGACTCGCCACAACATTGCATGGTAACCATCAAAAAGATAGTGATAATCATGGTAGAAACTTGAAGTATTAGTAATCTGTAATATCTACGCCAAAAACAAACACCTGTTATTCGTTAATCGTCAAAATTTAGTTAATACCATTAGTTTAAAATACTTAAATAAAAATAGTAGTATATTAGTTTAATACATAGATACACTATACATATAAACATGGCCCATGGGAGGGACTATAGCCCCCTTAGACCCCCCTTGGCTACGCCACTGTATATTAATATGTATGGTGTACTATTAGTGCAACTACGTGAGTGCGTTGCGCGATCACGGAAATTGAAGACAAATATTATATAACATACTTTATAAAAATATAACGATTTTCACGAATTTTAATTGATTATATCAATTCAGGCGTATTAATTCTAAATAAAAAGTAATTCAATATGATGCAAACTACTCCGTGTATATGAATTAAATGTGTAATTTACTATACTATCTGTTTCAAAAAACGACACGTTCAAATTAAAAGTCATAGAGCCGTGTATTAGTATAAATGTATACGGAGCATATTATTTTATAAGTTAAGAAAAAAGGAAACGCATCGCTCGTTTCAGTAAAGGAATAATTGTGAACATTTTAGTTTTGAAGTGACAGAAAATGACTACGTATCCCATTGTCGACAATATTACGGAGGAGAGATGAATCTCGACCTGTATGTCATTAAAAAATTGTTTACTGTAGTAGGGTAGTTATGTTAACTGTAATTTATAACTTGTTAAATAATTTAACATTTATGAATAGAAACTACGTCCATAAATAATAGTCTCAAAATTACCCACGCAGTAATAAAAGAGGCAATTCTTCTGGGTAGGATGAGATACAACGATGGGTAAATTTCATATCTCTATGTTGGTATTTTTAATTTGAAACCTATGTTTTATAACGATGTTCTCGAAAAAATGATTCTAAGTAAAAGAGGTCGGATGGATTAGTTTATATATCTAAAAATAGTTGATATAGTAGAAATACGAAATTTATTAAGAATTTAGGTTGAACTTGGAATGTTCTAACTTTCGCACGAAATAGGCATTTATAATCCGGATAAACCGACAACTTCAAGTGCTTGTATGCAACACAAATAGCATTAAAATATTTTATAAATATGAAATTTCTTAAATAACAAATACCGCATAATGGAAATTCGTTGAAATATACGATTGCGTATTTTTTTATTTTTATTTATTTATTTATTTATTTTTTTTTTTTTGTTACATAGTGAATCTTTTAAAAAATCTTGTATCCGATTTCCAAGACTTGAAAACAATTTTTACAGCAAAAATGTGGTAAATTTTCGTCATTTTTATCGCTTTAGCAAATTTTGGTTTGAATAATGATATTCTTTGAAAATAAAAATTTGATTTCGGTCAAGAACCGGTGTTTTGCTATTTTTATCATTTTTCTTCTTTTTTACTCAATTATTCAGGGAATTTCTGAGAAATTCAAAATATAATTCGTCCCCAGGGGCGGATAGGCATGATCTGACCGGCCCGGGAAAAATAGAATTTAGCGGCCCATATGATCTTATCCAAGATCTAAAAAAATAATTTACTCAACTTTGAAGGAACCAACCAATCCCCCCCATTTTTTGGTAGGAATAACATGAATTTAATATTACACTATTAAAAGTTATAACTAAATTTTTTGTTACTTTACTACATCACTGTATTAAAGTGGTAGTATTATATTTTTTTACCATACCACTTTTATTATATTAGATTATTTTATAGTAATTCTTAATGCAATAATTATAAATGTATAGCTGTACAAGGTAACTTGACAAATTCACTTATATTATTCTGGTTGTGCTGGTGAAAAAAAAAGTAACTAACTCTTTAAACATGTATACATTTATCAATAAATACCAGTAGGCATATATAATATTTTTAAACTTTTAATGAATAATATAAATAAACAAGTATTTAATATAATATTAATATTTATTTTGTATTTATAAGATAAATATAATACATTATAAGATTAATAGTGTCTTGAGTAGTTTATTTTGAGATGCAAATTTGTCAATAATTCTTTTATTTTCAAGTTGGTTTAATATATCTTTTTTTGTGCATATAATCATAAGTTGTTCCATGTGTGAAGATGATAGTGTACTACGCAACCAGTTTTTGATGTATTTAAGCTTAGAAAATGATCGTTCGCAAGAAACTTGTGATATAGACAAAGTTAGTATATACTTATAAGCCAAGAATAATGAAGGATAGGCTGAACAATACAAAGAATATCTCAACAAACTAATATAACAGCAATGAATACAATTTGAACACTTGTTACAGGCATTTTCAATAATTGGATATTCTTTTTCGTCTAAATTATAGTCATCTAAGTCATCTATATCTTCATCCTCGTTTACATAACTAAAACTTATATTTTGTTTTAAAGAGTCAAATTTGTGTATAAAGTCAAGAAACTCCTCTTTTAGTGAAGCTTGAGTTACATTTGGATTTATAAAATTCAATTTTTCACTAATTTTTTTCATTGCATTTTCTGTAAGTCCCTCATTTTTTATATCTTCAAAGTTTTTTGGATCTAAACAAAAAATATCTGCACAAATTTCTCGAGATAAACTTCCATACCTTACTTTTATTTTATTGATAATTGTGTCCATGATAATTTGAAATGTGCCTATTCTATATTCATAAATCACTGAAATGTTTTTGAACGAATCATCAGCCTCATAGTTAAACATTTTTTTGGGAACTCGACGTCTTTTATTTGGAAATTCACTTTCAATAACAATATCAAGTTCATCATTCATATGTTCTATAATATATATATTCTGTAATATATTGGTTTTTTCATGAATTTCAGAAAATTCTACTTGCTGTAATTGAACTTCAGATTTTTTAATCATATTGTATGCTTGTAATATGTCACAATTATTACCCTGTTACCCTGGAGATATTTAGATAAAGGTCCTGTAATACTAAATATTTTGAGGAACACCATTGCTGTTAAAATTGTCTCATATTTTATGAAGTTTTCTATGAATCCTGACGCTTTAGTTCTAGATTCCGAGTCATTTTGTACCGAATCTTTAATTGTTTTCATTACTTGGATTAAGTTTTTAAATAGTATGCCATTAAAATTTTTAGTGTCGAATAGTCCATAAATTTTTTTGAGTGCTACTCCCTTCGCCCATCATCTCGTTTCTCCAATTAAATTGAGTTTCATTTTAGTAACTATATCATTCCAACGATTCATACGTACATGTGATCGTCGAATGAAACTAGCTGTGCTATCGAGTAGTTCAAATAAGTTTGCAGCATGAATTTCGCTACTAGTGACATCTTGCAATACTAAATTTATAATGTGTCCCACACACCATACGTGCACTTGATTAGGAGCTAAATTTTCCATCTTTTTAGCGAATCCTAAGTATTGTCCCTGCATATTACTGGCCCCATCGGTTGAATTCCCAATACAATTATTTAGTGAAATACCTTTTGATTGCAATGTTTGAACCACTAAATCTGCAAATGCTTGACCAGTTGTTGTTGTACATTTTTTAAACCTATAATACGTTCATAAATTTTATCATTTACGTATCTTATGATTATAGAACACTGGTCTGACACACTGACATCCTGCGTCATGTCTATTTGTATAGAATACATTCTTGATTTTTTTTATTTCTGACACAATTGTTTCAGTTATAAGATCGGAACATACTTCTAAGATGTTGTTAAAAGTATTTTTGGATAAAAATGTTATTAATCCACCACCTTGTTTACTGCCTTTGTCTTTGATCTTTTCTCTCTTAACTAATATTTCATGAAGATATGATTTTAAAAGGGAGTCATATTTACTTAAAACAAAATTATCTCTAAAAAGTTACCATGATCGATGTTTGGATTATTTAATGTGTATGCAGCCTCGTTTCTTTTTCCTCTATATGCCAAACCACATTTTCCAATGAGTTTTACAACATCAACAATTCTTTCAATAATATTTCTACGTCTTTCTATTTGTTGCCCTCTGACATCTGTGCAACCGTAAATAATCATTTTCTTAATATCTTTACCTTCTTTTGTCATAAAATGACTATTGACACAATCTCTATGGTGAGCGGAATTTTCATGCTCTCCGATTCTCAAATAAATATGTTGCCAATCAGAAGAACCTTCAACAAAAGTATTTTGCTCTCCTTTTTTCCCATAAACAATGCAAATCGAGCAAAATATTTTTTTTAATTCTGTAGAATAAGATAACCATATACGTTTATTATTTGCTGAATAATAAGCTTTTTGGGGATTGAAGGGAATATTGTATTTTGGTTGACAAGGATGAAATTCGAAGAAGTCCTCAATATTTTGATACTTTGGCTTTTTAAAATAATCAAAGGCGTCAGGTTTATTTATAGTATGTCAAAATCAATGTCAAAATTATCTTTTCTTATTTCGTCTTCATCTAAAATATTATCTTGTTTCTTATTTCCTTTAGCCAAATAATTTTCTTCATAGTTAATTATGCAGTTATTGGGGATATTGTTAATTAGTAATTCAGGTCAAGATTTATAACTTTTAATTTCAGTATTGCAGCAGCGGGTCAATACGCACAACAATAATACCCGAAACCCGAATTCCAAGATAAACACCATTTGGCGGTGGTTAGCGCGATGATGTGAGAATAAAGTGGACTTGCCCACTGTTCAGTCATACAATAATAATTATACTTATGCTAGATTTAAATAAAAATATCAGTATTATAGTATTTATATACTTTTATTTGTATGTATGTATAATGTACATGTTTAATAGCGTTAATAGTAATATTTTTCATCGGCCCATTTTCGACAATATAAACAGCGGCCCACCGGGAAAATCCCGGTGTCCCGGTGGCCCTATCCACCCCTATTCGTCCCCCTCAAAGTACCAACAAGTTAACATTCCTTATCATAAATCTCTAATAACTGTTGTTTTAGAGCAATCAATCTCGTCAAAATCATCTATCTACTCAGAAACAGAAAAGAAACGATAAAACCAATACATTTCCTATTTCACTAAGAATCCAAAAACGTCAGCGAGTAACTTTTTTGGTCGTTCATGTCGACCATGGATAAACCAAAATAAATATCAAATCGATATTATAGTTTGTTTATACACATTTTTATATAATTCATTATATCTTTGTCGTCTCGACTGTGTTGCGGCCCGCATACAGTTTATAATGTGTAAAAATTATATAAAATATCTGTTGTATCCACGCAGCGTTTGATCAGAGTTATTATTATTGTTGTGTTTCGTGTACACACAATTTACTTTTGATCCAATGTTTTCCGTTCGAACGGCGTATGATAATAATATACACGCGTTTTGCGCCATGGTTGATTGTTTTAATTAAATATAATTAATACCAACAACAATCCGTTTCGTCAATATCGATGTTCCGTCTGAGGTAAAACCGTATAATATGGACATTATACATCCTCGCGTTGCTCAGGTGCAGTTATTGTGTAGCAATACATTATGTTATTATCGAAGCGATCGATATTTTAATTTTCGAATATTTTCGTTTAAGACCGTAGAGCCTGCACAACAGTCGTCGGACACAATGTTATTTTAATCGTGCGACGTATTTTTATTTTTATTTTATTTTTTTCGCGTTGTTCTACACAACATCGCTGTTATAACAACGTACAGAACTATTTTAAACTCCTCGGTAGCTATACCGAATTTCATAACATTGGTAACGTGTTTAAACACGTATGTAATGTGTATTTACACCTCTTTACCAGCTGAGAAAAAATTCCAAATCTTAAATTTCTATTAAATTAAAAAATGTTATATCATTCATTCATCATTCTCTGATAAAAGTTGTTGGGCAATTTTTAAACTATCACAGTATTTTAAATCAAATAATTGTTTTCATAATAGTATTGCTAATGTAATTTTATAGTAGAGATTAAACTTGGCCAATAGTTCCATTGACTAATTAATCAATTAGTGTAAATTAAATAAAATTTTTTATCTTATACCAAAGTATTTAGACGATTTAATGCCTACATAAGTTAAGTTAGGTGATGAATGACGACTATAATATTATTTACTTGTCTTTGAAAAGGTAATCTTAAAAAAAAAATTACTTCTTAGATATATCCATTGAGGTATAATGGTGGGCGCTATCATGTATATATAATATCATGTGCTCTATATAAATTTGGTCAATGTTTCCTATAGTTGTTATATCGCTGTATAAATAAACATACATAATTGCACTTGATGGGATTTTTTTAACAGTATTCATATACGTATTTCGATATTGTAGGTTTTATTTTCGTGTTTATAGATATTTTTTATTTTTATTATTATTGAATGTTGTGTTTTTGCGTGTCTCATAAAATGAACTTGGATTTGAAACCTATATCAAAATATATTGCGAAATATTTCGAAAAAAAATGTATTGTACACTCATGAACAAAAATAATAAAACCAGAGTTAATATAATCAACAATTTTTTACATAATATGAATGGAGACATACAAAATATTAAATTTTTTTGGAAAATTTTTTTGATGAGCATGACATTTGAGACTAGTGACTAATGACTCTACTACTTATTACTTGTTACTTGTTTACTGTTTACTGTATTGTTACTTGTCTTATAATTATCAATTATGCATACCATTAGTTTAATTGATATATATATATATATATATATATATATATATATATATATAAATGTGTGACATTGAAAAATCATAGAGTTAGATTGTGGAGAAACAATATTTAATAAAAAAATTAATATTATTTTATCTATATAAGTAGTAATTATAAAAAAATAAAAGTTGATATAACTGTTATAATAGTTTTTAATTTTGTATTGGATTTTATAATAGTTAAATATCAGTGATTAACCATAACCACTATTATAGTTAACAAAAATTGAGCATTTTTAATTCTTATCAGAAATGTCAAAGACTTCATCCACCATAATATTTTTTTAATATCGTCGCTCTATACATTATTTATTATGGTAAATTGTTATTTATATAATTGTTAAGTTACGCTGATTTTGAGCAAATATTTAGAAAGTCACAAGACTTGTTAGGTATCATAGAGCGTTTGTTATACTATTTTGACACAAATTAAACTCCAACCGTAGAATATTAGAACCGTTCCTCATTAAAGATATTTTCCATTTTACCTCCATACTTCTCTTGTACACGTATTTATTGTACAAAAACGATGAGTAACGAGAAATAGCTATTGTTTTACTCAAGAGTGAAAATGGTTGTTTAAATTAGTTAAGAATATTAATAGTTAAGATAAGAACTTAGTTCGGTTGGTCAGTTAATTGATGTGATATGAACAGAACGTTGAAAACGTCTTTGTTTAATTACATAATTTAGTAAACAGAACTGTGATGGTGAGATGTATACAAATTGTGTAACATATGAGAAGTTTATTTTTCAAGGAAATTAAACAGTTTTGATAAAAAATTTTACTAAAAAACTTATCATTTGTCAACTTTATCAATTGAAATATTTTCGGCTTCCGTGTCTCGTCGAGATTTGAGCGTTGGTCTTGAATAAACATAGCATTTGGTAAACTATGAAAAATTAAGATTTTCTGAAACCCCAGCGGCTACCAGCATGTAAAAAAAAATTAATTAAAATGTTTTATGAGTACAAAAAAATAAAAGGATCAAAGACAAAACTTTTTTTTATTTTGATTCCGTAGATAGTGAAATTATTTTATAATAAGGTTGGCATTGCACACAGCATTTGAAGAAAAAAAAAAACTTCAAAAGTCATCAGCTTAATAATCAGTGCATGAATCATATAACACATTCAAATTATCTTAGTACCTACGTAGTTTGTGTAATATAATATACATAGGTTGTACAAGTTATCATTAATATGCTTAAAAACCATCGTTCAAGAACGAATCTTTATTAGTTATGCTTAAAAAACAATACTCGATTCAAACCTTTATACAATATTTACAACTCCTTGAGCAAGAAAAAATAATTATTTAAATTATTATTTATTTAGTTTTTTATTCACCTAATGGAAATTTGAAAGTGTTCCTTTTATGAATTTAGTTTTGAAAAGGGGAATATCTTTATGAAAATGGTATTATATATAAATTCTGTAAGTTTTGTTACAAACGCTACGACTAATATTTAATAACACCGTTTAAAGTTTATAAGACGAGAAATGGGATGCTTAACAAATATATCATGAAGCGAGGAGAATTGCTTAACTCGGTTCGTCTAAGATACAAAATAGTAAACTGTAATTTTTTAAATTGTTTTACATAATTTCGTTGTGTGTTCTTTTTTTCCGGCAAAAACGTGCTCATTTAAATTCGAATGAAAAAAAAAAATTAATATATCGTCGCTGCTGCGTATAAAATTCGTAAAAACCGAACGACTTTTTATTCAAACAGACGGATGATGTGGTATAATTTTAATCTAATTTATAATTGGTTTTCGTTTAATTTGTTCGCGTAAATGCAATACAATAATGCGTACGCGTACGTTTGATATCGCGATATCATTATTTTTGTTTTCAATATCGTATACAATAAATTATAGCACAAATAGAACGTACAGGTACACACACAGAAAACACAAACCGAACAGAGTTTAATGATTACGCATCAGTGTATGCAAATGTGCATGTTATGGTATTTTGTGAAAACCGACGAAAGACAAAATACTCAACTGTTGATATTGAATCGTATTAACACGTAGTTCTGCATGAATGCATATACGTTTTATCCGTGTCAGCATTTCCCAATGTCGATCAGGGGAAGAAAAAATGGCCAATGGTGGAAAAATGTAATGTTTGATTTATTCAAAGCGGTCCGTTTCGGAAATGTACAATGTAGGTATATGCTGTTAGATATGAAAAATGTCTGCGGAAAAAACGCAAACCGTTCTCATTGAATTATCTCATACATATCAAAGTATAAAAAATTCAAATACCCCTAGCTCCACTCATTCGCTGATCGCTACATTTCATAAACGATATAACTACGTATGAAGTTGAAAATCGACACATTCCTATTACACTCTATTGATATGGAAATAAAATGGGGTTTTTTCTAAAATCGTATTCGAGCTTCGATACTGGACCGGATGCATATGACGTTTTTTCACTTCTTGGTCACCTAGAAAATATTTCAATCCGTTTTACGAGTATGTTTATTTATTAAATACAATTTAAACAAATAAAAATAAGTGCAATTTTTTTTAACCTTAAATGTTTATTATACATCGTGGTAGTAATTGCTCTCATCTAAAATAGATAAATACCTACCAGACGAAATCGGAAAATTCAACTAGTAATTTTATACATTTTTATTGAAATTAATCA